CCCCCTCCAGATTCGACTATTTACGCATTAACAGTCAACACGTCGGCACATTTTCTCCAAGCAATGCACATAATATGATGGCTTCCTTTGGGATTGTGGATTTTCCTTTGGACTTCGGACAAGGTTTATCTAAGCGGATCGATGCGTCAATGACGTTCCAATCCATACTATGTTTAGCATGATGAATTTACATTTCAAATTAGAGTGAAGTTTCTAGAAGGGTCTAGATTGGTACTCTCAAGTGGACGACTTGAGAGGGAAAGGCACGGAACTGTCGACTTCACCGATGATCGACTAGTCTACCGCTAATAAGACTTTACAGTTTAAAAGGGTTTTTTTAGAGGAAAGCGCGGACACTTACAAGCTCCGCTATGTTGATAATAAGCACGAGTGGAGTATGATGTTGAAAGCATGCTTTATGTAAAAAAGATAGTAACACGTTGCTAGATATTTTGCATGAGGAAAGCATGTAAAAACAGTAAATGATAAAGATGAACAGGAGAAGGAAGAAAAAGGAATGACAAAGGAGAGAAGTTAGCATGACTCATGAAAAAGGTTCGAGAACATAATTAAATGAAGCAAATGGGGGAGATAGGGACGAGAGAAACATGATATCGCAGTTTTAAGCAAGATGAAGTAAATAGGGAGGAGATGTACATGATATAGCAGTTGCAAGAAAGATAAAGGAAATAAGAAGGAGATGTACATGTCATCAAATAATCCGTTAATCCACATAAGCGAAACTTCATTATTGTAAGAGACTAAGTATATCCCCAGCAGAGTCGCCATGCTGTTGCGCCCCATTTTCTCGCGAAGCGGGTTTCGACATGTGACAACTCTTTTAAAGGAGGTATTAAAAGAGAAGAGTCAACACATAACGATTTTGAGGTGATTTAGGTTGCTCTGATTAAAACTAGTATGCGTCACCAAAGATCGGGTAAGAACTCAAATTACCTATAAGAGAATGTGTTAGGTACTCTTCGAGGTCCATAACTGTGGGTCCCAATCGAAATTAACGCTACATGGGATTATTGGATTATAATTGTCCTATGTGATCATGTAAGTGAAGGAAGATAGGTAATTTAAATGTTCAACTATGATATAAACAAGTGTAAAATAGATTTCACATGTAAAGGAATTAGACTCTATATAAATGATCAGTACAAGTCTTTGGAGGTTACAAGATATAACTTAATTTCTCTAAGTTTAAAGAAACAAAGGCGCAGGAAATAAAGGTATAAAGGGG